GACAGCTGATACTATGATAGGAAAGACACACAATTTTAGAAAAAGAAAAAAAAACTTAATTAAATGCACGCAGAGTATCTGAAGCCCCCTCCCTCCCCAGCTAACATGGTGATACAAACACACACCCCTCTAAGGCAAACCACTTGCCAATGTTCAGTGATGCAAACCAGCCAATGATCTCTGCATGCGTGTGTCTGCACACCCCCTAATGATGATCCCACCCTGATGAAGAGAGAGGAGAAGAATTGTGGAGAAGTTGGCAATAGAAACAGATGATGGAATTACCCTGAGTTTCAATTTGCCTCCAGCTCCTGCATGTACTGTAGGTGTGTGCAGATTGCATTCAAAGATGCTGTATAACTGCAGTAGAAACCAAACTGCAATACACAGGTATTGCACGTTCAGAGAGAGTGTTTGGAACAAATACACTAGTGCTGTCAAACGATTAATCGCGATTAATCACATCCAAAACATAAGTTTTTATTTACATAATAATTTATGTAATTAATGAACCCAAGATGTATGTTCAACAACATACAAAAGATTATACATTATTATAAACATATCTCATTCAAAAGTCAATGAGGTGCAATCGTGTTTGGACAGCAAAGTCCCAAAATATCTTCTCTTTGTGCTCCACAGAAGAAACAAATAACAACATGAGGGTGAGTAAATGATGACAATTTTCATTTTTGGATGATCTATGCCTTGTAAAATGATTGTGTCTGATTAATGTCTCCTATAAACTTAAAAACTTCTTGATAAGATAAAAATAAAGAAATAAAAAATAAAAGCATTTATTAGACTGAATAAACTAAGACATTATTATTCCACACTTCAACCGTCAAGGTTGCATGGAAATATGAAACGTTATTCCTTGCACTTCAACTTTTTTGAGAGGAAACTTCTTCAATGCTTTACTTTGTGGGGAATATCCTTGATCGTTTTCTTTGAAAGGCGGGTTACTCTTTGCCAGAGCTTCCTTGCATTCTTTGAAGAAATCTGGCCTCCGTTTCATATTTTTCAACAAAACCAATGTAATATTTATTTCTGGATTTGAATATAAAACTCACTATAACTATCAGGTAAGTCACTGACATAGTTTACCCTTACACATCTGGCACACTTTACCTCGCAACTACTGAATATTTTCATTTTAAATGTGTAATAATTTGTCATTCAATTTAAATTAATTTCAATTATATTCAATTTTATCGTTTTACTACATATTTTCCTTATTTTGCACTGCTTTGGCAATACAAGACATGCCAATAATAATCATCAAACCTTATGGGCCGGATGCTTTTGCCCGAGTCTCTCGCTCTCTCAGTGAACCTGTCAGGGTAAACCTGTGGTCCAGCAGCTCATTCAGGCCCAGCTGAAGTGCAAATTGGACATCTGGTGCTGCCTCCAGTCTCACAAAGACTCTCGCCCACTTCTGTACCCCACATTCACACTCTCAAATCTGAGAACGCTGGAACACAGGGACACACCACCAACAGTGGTATTCACAGACACAAGACAGAGACAGTCAGAGCAAGAAATCAAGTTTTCAGCTGAATCTGGCCTCCGTATGCATCATGGCTAGAACAGCACTGAATTCACACACTTCTGTCACGTTCTGTGCTGATTGCAGGGGAAAACCAGAAATTCTTTGGATGGACTCAGATATGGTGATGGGTGCTTAAAGGGATACTCCACCCCAAAATGAAAATTTTGTCATTAATCACTTACCCCCATGTCGTTC